TTTTTTTCAACGGTCGTTCTATAAATTTCTAATTGTATTTATTCTTATTTTAACATCATAAAAACAAAAATGATACACTTGTACATGACACAGTAGGTAATGAACTGTAAATGCGGGCGGTTGCGCTGTCAGGCGAGCGAGCGAGCGAGCGAGCGAGCGATTGCGCGAGCGGATACTACCGGATTTGCGCGGTCGAAAAAAAAGCAGAAATTGCGCGGTCGAATTGAACAAAGCGAGCGAAAAAAAAGCGATCGAAATCCGGAAGCGGGCGGGAGGTTCGGCGAAATGAGTACTGTATATTTATAGGCTAAGATTTCTTAAACGTGGTTCAAAGTGGACGCAGACCTTTTTAGCGACAACACTTTCTATTGCCTATGCATTAGCTCAGAGCAAATCACTTAAACTGTTGTATTTTTAAAAATAGATTTCTACCTGCATTTTTCTATTTTTTTAAAAATGATGTTCCAGACATACTTTTTCATTACCTTGAGTTTAAAATGACAAAGATTTTTTTCTAATTGAAATAGTCCGGTTTAACATTTTTCCCAGAGAGTTCCCATGTATTAACTCCAAATTAAATTAAATATACAGTGTTATCACATTTATGATAACCCTTTTTTATATCTTTTACATATGGCCTTGTGTTGCACTACGCAATCTATTCGAAAAATATAAAAAATTCAAAGACTATACATGTAATTGAGCCACCTTATCCTGCTCAGTGACGGTGGCACAGGGGGGGGCGGGGTGAAACGGGACAGACGTCCCAAACCCACTAGTAAGGTCGCGTCTCCGGCGCAAGTTGGTGACCAGATCTCGCCCCCTCATGCAAAATGTCCCGCGAGTGACTCTGCCGCTAGCCACCAGTATTTTACATTGACTAGACCAAACAAGGGTTATTAAGGCAGAATGGCACTCGTGATTTTATTTACATGTGCGCATATTTTAGCGCATAATAATAATAATAATAATAATAATAATAATAAAGATAATTTATTGCATCCTTAGAAATACAGTGTTTCCATCAGTTTATAGCAACAAAAGTATGACAGCGACAATATTTCGTGTCAAAATCTGTCTGAAATTAATTGTCTTAGTATTCGTTATCAGTATGTAAACTTTTTTTATTTCACCGGTTTAAATAATATTTATAAATACTAATGTACAAAATGCCATTTTGGCAGCGGTTTCCACAGGCGCTCAGAACGTTTCCGAGATAATAAAAATGACTTAAAGTAGGGTCGATACAGTTAGTCAGTCGCCGGTACATTCGCCTACCACTAATATAAAAACAATGTTATTATATGAGTGGTAGGCGACTGACTAAGTATACCGACACTACTTTAGGTGCTTTTTATTATCCAAGAGAAGTTCCGATTGCCTGTGTGCCCTGGTAGTTTCTAGATCGAGCACATTCTATAAATCATGTACTGAGATTATATCCTGGCATAAAACCATTCAGAGTCCAATGGTGATCTGAAAATACACACACATAATGTGACTATAAAAGATTTACTTACGCATTTCCGCCAGTAATCAACACTACTTTTTCTGACATCTTGATATCGTTCGATGATATCTGCCAACAGATGATACGTTAGTCTGGTACATTAGCTGTTAACAGAGAGGGCGCTAATACCAATTGGGAAGCGCGTGCACTCACATTTACTGACAAGTACATTGTAACCCCCATTTCTTACACATTACCGAGTTAGGAAACGTCGCCCGCCTAGTCAACACGTTCCATCTGACATGCAACTGTTATTTGAAAGTGCCATGAGAGTAAAACAAAATCGGAAATAGTCTGTGGAGACAGCATCCCATACAAGCAACCAACAAACAAACAGTACTTCACTACTTCCTGGTTGAAAAAGCGGGGCAGGTTGTGGTTTATGTGGTTTATTGCAGTGGAATGTATTAGCCAGATACACGCCGTACGGTACGTGCAGTATCTTTATATTATTCTTGTTGATAATAGCTAAATCACTCTTGTCTTGGAATCAATCAGTGATCAACGATGTGGAAAATGTGAGAGACATATTAGTACAGTGAAGGACCATGCAGGCCTGGTGAACGACATAAAGATGTGGTCACGTGTTATAAAAGTTTTATGCATGTAGATGTATTCATTTTTATAAACCCAAATGGATGTTAGAATTCAAATTAACCAATTCAGAAATTGTATTGTGTCATAAACATAGTTCTAATTATCATTGATGAGGTATTTCATCATTATTCAACTCTCATTATGAATATGTAACAGCTGCTATGTGAAATGAAGTTAGTTCTTGAGCCAGTACATATTTTCAATTCTTTTAAAATACGCTTGTAAGCAAAACGCCAGATTTGTGTCTATTTGACTGTAAATGTTGGTTACCACTAAAACATATTTATATGGCCAAACTTTCTCAAATTTTATCATATGCCTTTTTTTTTTAAGTTATTGCTCACTACTTTTGTAGAAAAGATCGATAAAAACCCATAATTTTTGTCTTTCCTAAACTTGTTTTGAACAAACATAGTGCAAAATTACACATAATTTCACTGAGACATGAATTAAGCTGAATTGATGATCCAGATTTTTAAAATCCACAAGCCATTGAATGATTTGCAAGCAGTAATGTCCGATGAAAAAAAAAAAATTAAAGTGTGACTTACTGCACCTGTTTTTGAAGTGAGCAACCCTCAACTCTAAATGATAACCTATATATACATGTACCCTGCCCTACCCAACAAAATGTAAGAATGAGGTATAATAAAAAAAACTTTTAACTTGAAGAGCTGTGGTCTGTATATTTGTGACCAGTCACTGCATTGTATTAAATTTGTTTTCAATATAAATTGCTGCATATACATGTATATACTTTTTCAATAGTCTGTGTTGTAGTGCTCTTTAGCTACTGTAGAATACTTTATTTTCGCTTGGAATTTATTTTCGCTATTTTCGCTGAAGGGATGATTCCGTGAAAATAAAATCCAGCGAATATACTTTTTTTTCTATATTTCACATTCAACTCATCAAAAATCAGTGAAAATAAATTCCATAAAGGAATGCCCAAAAAACTTTTTCAGCGAAAATTAATTCCAGCGAAAATAAAGTATTCCACAGTATTTTATTAGATTCTTTGTATAGCGCCATCTAGTGACAGCAGATTCCAAGTCCACTTCAGTTTTGTTTCCCTGGTTCTTTGAAATTTGTATATACTATAAAATGACTAATTTTCACTAGGTTTAAATTTCGTTGATTTACCATTTCAGCGGGTTTTAAATTCACTGTTTTATCATTTAGATAATGTGTTCTATGCTAAATTTTACATATTCACTGGGTTTTAAGTTAGCACATTTTTCGGGACAGCGAAATAAGCAAAATTAAAACCCAGTGAATAATTAACCCTTTTACAGTAACCTTTATTAGCTCAATATGATTTTAACCTGTTGCTTGTGACTCACTGAATAAGCTAAAGCAAAGATAATATAAGAGTTTGATTAACCACAGTGAACAAAACAAAATTTCTATGTGTGTAGTTTTAACTCCCAGGTGCCAAGCACACAATGGGAGTCTTTGTTGTTTGTACGTCTGAGCGTGTATTTCAAGAACCAATTATTATTAGTTCCCGTTCGAACACAGTCTGAAAGCGGGGACTTATGTTTTGACCTTTGTGTGTCCGTGCGTCCGGACCTGTGTCTTAGAAATGCCTGGACCAATTACAATCAAATTTCACACATACATCATACATGACATTAACAATTCCCACATTAATTTCTTTCACTATCTGATTCAAGATGGCCGAATGGCAGCAATTTTTATACTGAAAATTCATCAAAATTAAGCATTTCTCAGCTGTTTATAGATGGATTTTGCTTAAACTTGGTATATACATTGGACATTATGGGACCTTGATGTACATGATTTTGTTTTTCAGATAAGATTCAAAATGGCTGTTTGGCGGTCATTTTGTTTTAATGAATGTGGTTCTAGTGCCATATTTCTGACTTGCTTTGACTGATTATGTTACAATTTTTAATATTCATTATACATCATGTCATAGATATACAGATATATTGGTTTGACGATCCTATTCAAAGTGGCCGAATGGTGGTCATTTTTGTGCTGAAAAAATCATGAAATTTCAACCATTTCTGGCACTTATGGATGGATTTCGTTCAAACTTATAACATACATTAGACATTACAAGTTCCTGATGCACGTCATTTTATTTTTCAGATCGAATTCAAAATGGCTGACTGGTGGCCGTTTTGTTTTAATGAATGGGCTTCTAGAGCCATATCTCTGACATCCTTTGACTGATTATATTCAAATTTTATATATTCATTATACATCACATTATAGATATATACATGTATTCAAAATGGCTGATTTTGTTTTAATTAATGCTTTTCCAAAGCAATATCTCTCAACACTCGTTTGACGATCAGATACAAATGTCAATCATTTTAATGTTAAATAATCATCATAATCATATTCCTGACATAATTATATATTCCAGCTATATTACTATAAACAAAACTATATATCTTAAATTCAATAACTAACGGGGACTGTGCCATGCATGGCTTGTATTTTAATGAAATTTGGTACATAGATGGTCTAGGATAAAGCACTATCCTGATTTAATAGTTTCTGGTTACAGTCTGTGCATATTAATTACCTAATATGCATATTAATTGGCCAATTTTTAGCTTTTCCACCAATATTTCAATGAAACTTAGTACATAGATGTTATGCCATATATATGTTTAGTATTTAACTTTCTCCTCACTTATTACCTAATTTACATAACTTAAACAATTTATAGATCTTGAGTATCATTCATCAAATTTCAGTGACACTTAGTACATAGATGTTTTTGGATAATCTGCATATCTGATTACTTCAGGCTTGAAACGCATGCATATTAATCACCTACTTTTTATAAATTGGTGCCTATGACTCCATTAATATGCATACATTTGTACAGTACTCATCCAACTTAGTGCCCAGGGTACTCAGCTCACAAAATCGTCTTTTTTTTAAGGGGTGGGTGCTTAGTTAAGCTCAACACTCGTACAATTTACTTACAAACACTGTAACAATAACAAGACATAATTTTGTGTTCTCAAATGTTCAGTAACCCAAATACAATGACCAATGTTTTAATTATATTTGTAAATAACCCATGGAAGACATTATTATAAAATTATAAAATCCACGTTTAAAACATAGTTGTTATCATAAATGTCAATAAACTGCTGTTTTTTTTTAATTATTACTAAAAATTGAAGGCTACTATTGTGGTATTTTGGATTGAACTCGTGGCAAAAGCATGCGCATACTCAGTACAATGACAAGACACAAACACAACCAAGGCTTGTAGAATACTGACAACATTTTATTGAATTACATTTCTTTTATAACACCACATACCAGATGTACTGGCATAACCATGTGTACATTCAATTAGCATATCGATAGTGTGTACAGATCACTGCAACTATTACTTCCTAAACCTTTTCACCAACATTTCTCTCTTTTTATCACAAAATAGTTTCATTTACACTTTCTTCAAAAGATTGGGACAAAAATAGACAATTTTTTTGAGTAAAAACAGAAAATTTACACAAATTTTGTCTGTTGGCTCCAAGATTAGTGGTCTTTTCCAGAAATATTAAAGAACATGAGAAAAAGAGTGCAGGAAAATTTGGGCAAGAAAGTCTGGTGATGAAAAGGTTAAAGATAGAATAAGCATATACTAGTACATGTACAGTATGTATGTAGCTATTATTTTAGCTCTGAGTGACATGTACATGTATCTCTGGCACATACACACAATGTGAGATGTTTATTTGCACATGTACATTTAAATATT